TCCTCCTCCTCCTCCTCCTCCTCCTCCTCCTCCTCCTCCTCCTCCTCTCCCTTCTAGCACTGATGATGTTACCTAGTTTGGGTCAGAGGGCTCAGAGGGCATCAAGAACCTCACAGTCATCCCCTTCCTCTTCCTCCTCCTTCCCTGCTCCCTTCTAGCACTGATGATGTTAGCTAGTTGGGTAATGAAACGTCTCCCAAGAAAACAACGAACTCAGAGAGCACCAAGGACCCTAAAATCCTCCTAATCCTCCTCCTTCTCCACAAAACCCTTTCCCTTCTAGCATTGATAATGTTACCTAGTCAGGTCATGAAATGGCTGCAAGAAAGCAACCATGCTCAGAGGGCATCATTTCAACCCCGAGTGACAAATATTCACTATTTATTGATTGCATACTTCGCTTGGACATAAATGGGGGTTGGGCTTTGATCATCTGCTTCCATTCCCTTTTTTGACATCAGTCCCCATAAATCCCCTTATTTCCATTTCCACCCCCTACAAAACAGAGGGGGATATTCCAGCCGAAATATTAAACAGAAACCCTTGATGTGCCTAATATTTATGAAAATTACTTTTCATAACATCAACTTTTATAGCAAGCCATTTGTGGAAGTAGTCTTTTTTTTTTAATTCTTTCATGATGCATCAATAGAAGCAACACAGTGCAGCCTTTTCAGCAGATCAGCAATTAGTTAAATGTTCAATGTCTTTCTTCTTCAAAATGATAATTTTTAATTATATTTCCCAATGTTTCAGGTAATGCTTTTTTTTCCCCTGAAATCTTTGCAGTGGGTCAATGATCACTGGATTTCTTTTCCACTGCTAAACATTTGAAGAAGATAATTAATTCATGTATTGGCTGTTTTCTCCATTGGCGCTCAGTATAATTTATTAGATAAAAGCCATACAGGTAGTCTTTGACTTAAGACTAAGTACAGTTGGAAGATGAAATCCATTCCCTGGAAGGATGCTTTCTTGGGGACCATTCTGTTTTCACAGATCTTGAAGCTCTGGGGTTTCCTATCATAACTTTAAAACACGTGGACTTCAATTCCCAGAATTCTGGCTGGGGAGTTCTGGGAGTTGAAGTTCAAGAAATTCTCGTCCTGCCTTAGGCATCAAAGCAAACTGGGTGACTTTAGGCCAGTCCATCTCTCTCTCTCTCTCTCAGCCCAGCCCACCTCACAGGGTTGTTGTTGAGGGGAAAACAGGAGGAGGGAAAGTAGTATTATGTCCAGGTAGTCCTCGACTTATTACCACAATTGAGCCCCATATTTTTAAGCCAGTAAGTGAATCTGGCTTCCCCGTTGACTTTGGTTGTCAGAAGGTGATTACATGGCCCCAGGAAAACTAAACTGTCATAAATACAAGTCATTTTCCAAGTATCTGATGTTTCATTACGTGACTATGGAGATGTTGCTGTGGTCCTGTGAAAAATGGTCGTAAGTCACTTTGGGGGGGTTCCGTTATAACTTTGAACGGTCACTAAATGAACTGTTGCAAGTCAAGGACTACCTGTATGTTTGCCGCCTCGAGTTACTTATAAACAGCAATAAAAGTGGGGTAGCAATCTACTGCGTTTCCCCAAAGATAAGACTTGGTCTTATATTAATTTTTGCTCCAAAAGATGCATTAGGGCTTATTTTCCAGTTAGGGCTTATTTTCAGGGAAATAGGCTAGTAAATGCGTCTGGTTGACAATCTTAACGGACTTATTTTTGGTGTAGGGCTTATATTACAAGCATCCAGAAAAATAATGTGATAAATAAATACACCATGAAATTGCCAATATTGCGGATTGCTAGTGTGGAAGCACCACCTGTCTGAACAGGTGATAAGCACCTGTACTCCTTCCCCTCCCTCTCTTGGCCCTCCCCCCATCGTCAAGACAACCCAGCTACCAATCAAATGGCAGCAGCCAAACCGCAGCAGCCAATCAAAGCGTTGATTGGGCAGGAGCCAAGAAGAAGGGGAAGACAAGATGGCTGCCTGAGGACTCTGTCGCCACAGCCATTTCGAAGAGGAAGCTAAATAAAGAGAGCCAAACACCCGGAGTCAAATAAAGAGGCAGATTGAAAGATAGACTGTCCTGATGAGGAGAGGACACACAGAAAGGAGGCTGCAGCTGAAAAAACTGAGGAGAAAGAAGCATTTTATCCCTTCCCTCAGAGTGGCATGAGGAAAAAACTCTCCCAGCTCTTTCTCTCAGAGGCAATAAAAATTAGGGGGGTGGGAAAGGAGAAAGATAAAGAACCCCTGTCAGGAACAAATACACTGAAAAGATGGGGGAAAGAAAAAATTTTGGATGGAAAAGAAATAAAAACCAGAAACTTAAAAACACAGGTTGAATTACAGGTAGTCCCCAACTTACAATTATTCATTTAATGCCCAAACTTACAACGGCATGGAAAAAAGTGACTTATGAACATTTTTCACACTTATAAATGTTGCAGTGTTCCCCATGGTCAGGTGATCAAAATTCGGACTCTTGGCAGTTGTCTCGTACTTATGACAGTTGCAGTGTCCCAAGGTCATGTGATCCCCTTTTGCACCTTCTGACAAGCAAAATCAATTGGGGAGGCTAGATTTGCTTAATGACCCTGTGATTCACTTAACAACTGCAGTGATTCAATTAATAACTGTGGCAAAGAAAGCGGGTAAAATGGGGCAAATCTCACTTAACAACTGTCTTGCTTAGCAACAGAAATTTTAGGCTCATAAATTGAGGACTATCTGTAAAAGTCCAATTAAACTCTGCAGGAAAAATGTTACCGCTTCAGAGAGAATGACTATAGAGATAGAGAAAGATTAGTACTACAGATAGAGATAAATCAGCCATAAAGCAACATATTAGCGATGCAACATAGAAAGAGATGAGAGATTATCGTGAAATTAGGCTTTAAAGAATATAGTGTAGATAAAGAGCTTAAAGAAAATGGTTAAAATTGATCGATTATATACCGTCAACTCTTGGATAGGCCACGTAGATAGATTTTCTCCGACCTCCCAACATTGCTTCTATAAAGAATAACAGTTGGAAGGGACCTTGGAGGTCTTCTAGTCCAACCCCCTGCTCAAGCAGGAACCCTTGTCAGCCTTGGAAGCCATATTTTACTCGGAAGTTTCGAGGCTGCCGCATTCAGTGCCTGGAAATTTGGCAGAGGGGATTTCATAGTGAGATAGAAGATTAGACACAACAACATTCTTTCTCGGAAAGTCAAGGACATGTTTCCCTGCACCTGGAAGGGAGTGTCTGGAGGAAGGTCTCCAATTGGGGTGAAGATTTGATAGGGCCATGTGATGGACTGGCGCATGCAGGGGAGGGATCTTTGATTTTTCTTTTGGGAAAGGAAAACTCGGAACTCTCAGATTCGGGTTTTCCCAGATGTGTCAATAGGACAACTGTAATAAAATGGAACTTTGAAGAAATGCTTGTCATGGAGTTTATTGGTTTGGAATTGGTTAGTTGAAATGTTGACAACCTCTATAACAATTCTAGACCAATAGCTATCCAGTCTCTTCTTAAAAACATCCAGTACTGGAGCATTCATAATATCTGGAAGCAAGTTATTCCACTGATTAATTGTTCTCACTGTCAAAAATTCCTCCTTAATTCCAGGTTGCTTCTCTCCTTGATTAGTTTCCATCTGTTGCTTCTTGTCCTGCCTTCAGGTGCTTTGGGGGATATGTCGATCCTCCTTATTTCTCTGTGACAGTCTTTCAGATATTGGAAGACGGCTCTCATGTCACCCCTGACATTATATTAGACAAACCCAAATCCATTCTTCGTATGTTTTAGCCTCTGGCTTCCTAATCAACTCTGTACTTTATCTAGAGTTGCGACATCTTTTTTATATTGTGGTGACCAAAACCGGATGAGTCCATCCACTTTGTTGCTGGTCGTCCTCTTCTCTTTCCATCCTCCTTTCCCAGCATCAGAACAAGATCTTTAAGTTGTTCGGTTGGTTGTGTGCCATCAAATCAGGATTTACTTTGAGTGACCAAACAAGGTTTGCTCCAGGATGATCTGTCGCCAACTTGGCCCTTCAGGTCTTTCAACGAAGAACCCATCACTGATGTAAACTGAATTCATCTCCCTTGATGCTGGTCCTTCTCTTCTTTTATTTCCTTCCACCTTTCCCAGTATTACAGCCTTCTCGAGAGAGCCATATCTCCAAAGTAGGATAATTTGGGCTGGAGTTAAAATAGAAAACATGTTTTATTATTAAGAGTCATTTCTACACTGGTCTTCAACTTGATTTCTTCTAATTGTGCATTTCTTTTATTCATTTGTGTAAAATAAAAAGACTTTCCCTAGTTACCAGGGGAGAGATTTAAAAAATAAAACCAATCAATAGTCCAAGTTTCCAGTGGTTTGTATCTATTGAGTCTAAGTCACAATCTAAGCAGGTTACTCAGCCTTGAAATCAGGGGACTATTAAGTACAAAGCAATTAATCTCATTTGTTTTAATTAAAAGTTCAAAAGTTTAAATGCAAAAAGGGAGGGAAAGGAAAGGAAGAAGTAAAAGAAAGAGGGGGAGGGAGAAAGAAAAGAAAGAAAACGAAAGAAAGAAAAAGGAAAGAAAGAAAGAAAGAAAGAAAGAAAGAAAGAAAGAAAGAAAGAAAGAAAGAAAGAAAGAAAGAAAGATCAGAAGGAATCTGGAAGCATCTTTTGCAACTCACATGTTTTATTTGAAGGCAGAAGCTTTCTATCTTTTATTTGAATAAATTCTATGTCCCAGAAAAGGTGCTCCTACACTACTACTGATTTTGGGCCCACATTGACTAACACAACTCTCCTAAAACCTAAATATTGTATATCCTTGCAGCAGATGAAAATGAAATTTGCAATATATCTCAGTATAGTCTATTATTATTGTTATTGTTATTATTATTACTACTACTACTACTACTACTATTTATTCCATACTGGCAGGCTGCTTCCCATCACCAACCCATTTTCTCTTTGTTTTCCAGTCCCAGGGAAACCGATCCTGTCTGTGTATCCCACCCATGAAAACTCTCTCCTGGTCAAATGGGAACCCCCTCTGGAATCCGAAAGCCAGGTGCTGGGTTACCGCCTCCAGTTCGGCCGCAAAGACGTTGACCCGCTGGCCACCCTGGAATTCGCCACCCAGGAGGACAAATATACCGCCACCCATGTCCACAAAGGTGCCACGTACGTCTTCAAGCTGGCCGTGAAGAGCCGGGCCGGCTTTGGGGAGGAAGCGTTACAAGAAATCACCATCCCAGAAGATGTGCCAAAGGGTTACCCTCAGATTCTCGAGGCGAGCAACATCACCTCCAGATCGGTCCAGGTCAAGTGGTTGCCCCCCGTCTTAGCCGAGAGGAACGGTGTCATCGTCAAGTACACCGTGGCCTACCGAGAGACCACCTCTTCGGGAAACCCCCAGGAGACAGATCTCCCTCCCTCTCCAGAAAACTCATACATCCTGAACGGTCTCAAGCCCAACACCGCTTACGATGTTAAAATCCGGGCTCATACCAGTAAAGGTCCCGGGCCGTTCAGCCCCACTGTTCAATATCGGACGGTCCTTCTGGATCAAGGTAGGACTTGCCAGTTTCTGCCCCAAGGGTCTGAATCCTGGGAGGCAGAGAAGCCAAACACTAAACCAAAAAACAACTGTAGTCCTAAACTCCTCGCCGGCTTGAAGATGGCGTGTGAGTACCGTTAAAAAAAAGCAGAGCAAAGCCAAAACAAAAAACAAAAAAAAACAAGCAGGCTTTTAAAAACCATTAATCCTATAACAAGGCAGGTGGTTTCCCTTTGCCTTCGGCAGGTAAGTCTTTTTTACCTTTTTCTGCTAAAAGTCCAGTCCAGGCAGCCTCTTGATTGACAGCTGGGCGGAGCAGTTGCCATCACAGGTGGGCGGAGTTTTTTCTTCAGCTTTTGCCCTTTTCCCTCTCTTTGAACTCTTTTTTTTTTCTTTTCTTATTATGATTATTATTATTATTATTATTTTTGCAAGCCGGTGAAAGGAAAAAAAATACACCTATGCAAACCAGTATTTAAAACAGCAAAGTTGCACGATTCCATGCACACCTTCTGTCCTCAGCAGCCAAACAGGAGAATTTGTAGTTGATTTTCGTTGCAGTGGGAATGCTGTAAAGGGCCCTGGGATCCTAAGAGGTTTATTTATTTATTTATTTGTAGCCAAAACAGGGTGTTGCAGGTGTGGATAAGAGTTTTCGCGAGGCACAAATGGCGCAGGAGTCACTTTGGGGGGACTGGAGTAGCACCTAATTGTGTAGAAAACGTGTCTCCGTTGATGAAATCCAAATTCTGCCATTTTCACTTCGAGTCACCTGCTCCGCCTTTCGCTGATTGTTTTTCTTCCCCACAGTTTTTCCCAAAAACTTCAGAGTGAAAATGGTCACCAAGACGTCGGTCCTTCTAGGCTGGGAGTTTCCTGAAAATTACAACTCCCCTATTTCATACAAGGTACATGTTTAACATCAGTGTCTGCAAGAAATCGTTTGAAAGGGGGGAATCCTGCATCCTTTGTGCAACACAGGGGTGGGATTAAAAAATCCCAGCAACCGGTTCGCTGCCCAGTTGCTGGGGGGGGTCATGGCCATGGTGGGCGTGGCCCGCCAGAACTTCAGAGAGGGCCATTTTTCGCCTTCCCAAGGGTCCAAAAGCTTTCCTCAGGCCTCTGGGAGGACAAAAACGGCCTCCCTGAGCTCTGGAGACCCCCCCGGAAGACGGAAGCAGGCCCGTTTCTGGACTTCCAGGAGGGCTGTTTTTTCCCCCCTCCCAGAGCCTCCACGCGGACCCTGCATTTACCTGTATCAAAAACAGGCCATGTGGAGACTCTGGGGAGGGGAGGGGTGAACAGGGCCAGCCGGTCGGTTCAACTACCGGTTTGGCGAACCAGATGCAAATTTAACATCCGGTACACCTGAACCAGTCTGAACTGGTAGAATCCCACCCCTGGTGCAACAGAGACAGTTTGGTTGGTTGATCACCAGCCAAATTGCATCTGCTGCGCGAAGGTTGCAGGAATCATGCATCCATGACAATCGTGTCATCACCCTTGTTTTGAAAGGTTATTCAATCAAAATTATTAGTTTGGAACCAATTTTTGAACATATCGTTGACTGAATAATGTTGACCTAATAAATTTTTGGATATGCAGTATTTTGCTCAAAAATCTGTCGCAAGAGAAGATCTGCGCCCTCTTCCAAAGCAACCTAGATCATTTTCAAACAAATTATCCCTCAGAAATTACTTCTTTCTTGCTGCTTAATTGAAATCTGTTTAGCTAAATTAGGGAATTTGGTGCTATGCAACATTGTAATGACAAAAAGATTTGGACAGCTGGCAAAAATCCACAGAGGCTGACACTCACAATGGCTACTAGGCATAAGAGGCATAAAAGATTTGTAGGATTTCCCAACCACGTCAGTGAAAACAATGAAACGCTGCTGTGGAACATAAATAGAAAGACGCAGCATGTCCAGATCCTATTTGTGGGGTTTGTAGATGCACCTGGTTGATTACTGTGGGAAATACGGTAGTCCTCAACTTATGATCACAATTGAGCCCCAGATTTCTGCTGCCAAGCGAGACAGTTGTTAAGTGAACTTTGTCTCGTTTTACGACCTTTCTTGTCACAACTGTTAAGTGAATCACTGCAGTTGTTAAGTTGTTAACACGGTCGTTTAAGTGAATCTGGCTTCCCCGTTGACTTTGCTTGTCAGAAATTCCCAAAAGGGGATGACATGACCCCGGGACATTGCAACCGTCATAAATACGAACCAGTTGCCAAGTGTCAATAATTTTGATCACGTGACCATGGGTGTCAACTCATAAAACATTTCTATGCATGTTTTAGAGTTGCCATGAACAGAAAAGTAGTGGGGGGGGGGGCGGGGAGAGAAATTTAAAAGAGCAGTGCAGCAGTTTGGAACCGAAAGTGCATTCCATTCTTATCTTGCAAAGATTGTAACTAAGCTACCGGAATTTCTGCCGGGGGGGGGGGGGAATCCCTAATTGGAGAACATGATTTATGACTCTCAGCTATGAACGTGTTTTCGTTGGAGAATATGAATTATTCTCCAAGGGGAAACCAGCAAATTTTCACGTCTCAGAATAGGCTGCATACAGGTCATACCGACATGTTTGCTCCTCATAAATCCTTTGAACTTTTTGAAGCTTAGCTCGAAGCTCATGATTTAGTTAGGGCAATTGCTGGAATCCTGACAATGGGGATGCTGACACAGTCACGAGAAAAATAGTCATCAGTCACCTTTTTCAATGACAGTAATTTTGAACCACCACTAAGCAACCTGTTGTAAGCAACAGAATGGAATATAACAAAGTTGGAAGGGTCCTTGGAGGTCTTCTAGTCTAACCCCCTGCTCGAGGAGGAAACCCTATACTATTTCAGACAAATGGCTGTCCAGCCTCTTCTTAAAAAAGTCTCCAGTGATTGAACACCCATAATTTTTGAAGGGAAGTTGTTCCTCTGGCTAATTGTTCTCACTGCTAGGAAGTTTCTCTTTAATTCCAGGTTGCTTCTCTCCTTGATTAGTTTCCATCCTTATTGCTTCTTGTCCTGCCTAGCAGGACTACCTGTAAGTTGAAGGTTAAAGTTGGTCTGATATACCAAGATTCTCCTGGGTTTCTTACATGGGCCCAATTATTTATTTATTTTATGTATTTATTTGATTTGTCAATCGCTTACAAGTTAATAGGCATAAGAATAAACATGAGTAAGAATAAAGGAAATAGGTACGAATAAATAGGGACAATAGGTCAGGGATGGGAGGCACGATGGTGCGCTTATGCACGCCCCCTTACAGACCTCTTAGGAATGGGGTGAGGTCAATAGTGGATAGTTTAAGGTTAAAGGAGTGGGGGGTTAGAGGATGTAACAACAGAGTCAGGTAGTGCGTTCCAGGCATTGACCACTCTGTTGCTGAAGTCGTACGTTCTGCAATAGAGTTTGGAGCGGCTTCCATTGAGTTTGCATCTGTTCTGTGCTCTTGTGTTGTTGCGGTTGAAGCTGAAGTAGTCATCGACTGGTATTGTGTTTCTTCCATGCCCTCTTCCTCCATTTCTCACAGATCCGGCACGAGAACACTGGCCAAGAGATTGAGGTGGGTGGGAGTGCCACCAAGAAGCTCATCACCAACCTGAAGCCGCAAACATCTTACCGATTCTCCCTCGTGGGCCAGAGAAGCGAGAAAGGAGATCTTCAGCAGAAAGTGATGGTGTCCACCGCAGCCAATATGCTGAGCAGGAAGCCAGAGGTGTCTTACCGACACGAAATAGATGGCAACGTGATGGTGAATCTGCCAGATGTCAGGACATCAGACTCCCCAGTTCAGTATGTATACACCCTGTTGAGGCCAGCCACCCAGTCGATAGTTCTCCCTTTGTATTTGCATTTGGCCTTTTTATATGAAGCGGGCAGGAAGCTATCACAGTGTACAAACCATGGACTATTATTCAGTTGTAAAACATAGAAAAAAATCATTTCAAGCTAGACCCAGACATTTTCACTGCCTGCACCTAAACATCTTTACAACATGGGCCAGTTTTGTCGGGGTCTAGGAGAACTTGCTGCAGCCAACTCACCACTGGACAAGTTGCCATGGCCAGCTTGCCACAAAACAACTCGCCACGGGACAAGAGTTACACTAATATCGAAAAAATGGTGGAATAGAATCATTAAAGAAAGGCTGCAAAAGAAGGGACCAAATGAAATGTAAATGACAAAAATAACATAATGTTTTAATTATCTGAAATAATTGAATTGTTGAACTGTCCCACGGTGAGTTGTTCTATGGCAAGTTGGCCATGGTGAGTTGGCTGTGGTGAATTGGACATGGTGAATTGGCCGTGGCAAGTTGTGCCATTCTGGTTTTGCTGCCTGAACAACCTAAAACGTGTTATTTATTGAAATAAATAGAGAGGATAATAGTTAATCTAGGATTAACTAGAAACCCTGTGAGTTTGGAGACAATTATTTTTCTCCCTTAATGAGACAGCTCAATATATATTTCCTGCTTTGAGTCTTACCTCCGTTAATCACATTTCCCATCTAGATTAGCTCTTCTCCTTCATTGTCTCTTTTCTTTTAATCTATTCTTTGGCCTGTTTTTCTTTCCTTTTTTTTTTTGATTATCAGAGCATATTACATTGTGGTGCTACCCTTGAAGAAAACTAAAAGTGGCCAGTTCCAAAATTCATACAATAGTCCAGAAGAAATGGATTTAGAAGAGGTAAGTGGGGATTTTCCATGAAAAAGTCTTAAGATATGTCATATTTTGAACTTGTCATTAATTACCTTAGTAGATCCTGGGAATGCTGTAGTTATATATCTTTACTGGGGATGCGGGGGAACATTTGACAATGAACCCTACAGAGAGCCTTCTAAGCTTTGCTGGCTGAGGAATTCTGGGAGTTGAAGTCCGCAAGTCTTAAAAGTTGCCAAGGTTGGAGACCCCCGATCTAAAACAAAACAAATCACCACGGTTCAATGGATCATGCTGCCGTTAAGTGAATCCAGTTTTCCTCATTGACTTTGCTTGTCAGAAGCCGGCTGGGAAGGTCGCAAATGATGATCACCCCCCAGGATGCTGCAACCATTATAAATACATGCTGGTTGCCAAGCATCCGAATTTTGATCCGGTGACTTTGGCGATGGTGCAGTGGTTGTAAGCACAAGTTTTGGTTGTAAGTTGGGGTTTTTTTTTCAGTGCTTGTAAAGTTTGAATGGTTACTAAATGAATGGTTGTAACTAAAGGGCTGCTTTTATTTATTTATATTAATCTGTCATGCCCCTGTCGGAGTCTGAATCTGAGAAGGAAGTTGAACAGCTGACAGGGAGGAGAGTGTGACTCCGTTGGCTGTGGAGGAAACTGGGAAAGGGAAAAGTCAGGCTGGGCAGAGCAAGGCAGAGATAGAACAAGGGAGTTCAGAGGAAGACCCAGGCCCACCCCCTCTTCATCTTGGGGCACACAGGGAAGAACGGAGAAGGGAGGAACGTGGGTTGCGTGGCTTACGGGGGAGGAAAGGGCCCTGATTCCCTTCATTAGGCACACCTGGGAAGAGAGTTTAAAGAAGAGGCAGCTGAGAGCTGCGGTTGCTTGGAACAAACGTGAGTTTATCTTGTGTTGAGTTTGGTTATCTGTGTTCCTAGCATCCTCCCAACTGAGTTGAATTACTGCCATACTTTCACATCTGGAATTATTGCTCCTGCCTTGCCGGACTAATTACCTCATCTTGCCTTGATTGGACTTATAATTACAGGTTTTTTTTTTTAACCACGTTTTGAACTTGATTCTCTGCAGCCCAAGGCTGTTCCTGGGAGAGTTTTTCTCCAGTCCAGAAGATAACCAGGACACTGGGGGCAAAGTTGGAGCTAATAAAGGGACTCTCACTTATTATCTGACTGTGTTGCCTTTGTGCCACACCCCTTTGGGTCATCACATAATCCTTATTCATCTCGGCTCACCTAGGTACCCTCTTTTCCCCTTTTCCAGCTAATTCAGCAGATCTCAAGGCTGCAACGGCGAAGCCTCCGCCATTCCCGTCAACTGGATCCCCATAAAGCATACATCGCAGCCCGTTTCCACATCCTGCCCCCTTTCTTCATCCTGGGGGATATGAAACGCTACGACAACTTTGAAAATAAAGCCCTGGAGGCCGGACAGAAATACGTCATTTTCGTTTTGGCCGTTCTGCACGCCAATGAAGCCGTGAGTTCCTCCTTTGCGTCTCCCCGCTAATTCTTAGGACCCTTTTAAGAGCCTGAATGGGTTAACATCGATCTCCTTTTAACGGAGATCAGAAACAAACAAGCTTCTTGTTGGGGCGGGTCCTCTTCTGTGTTTTTATCGCGTTTGCCTGAATGGTATTAATCTACTGCGCTGCAAATAAAAACCACCGAAATATTTTGTGGGGCAGCGGAAAGCGATAAGATGGTATGATTTCTTGCAATGAATATCTTACAAAGCATTCAGAGTCAATATCCATAAAGCCCAAACGTAGAAATGTAATATGCAGCATAAAGTACAAAAATAAAAAAAAAATGACGTGCATTGAAATTTCTCCAGCGCTGCAATAATAGTGCAAGAACATAAAAGGCTAAATTAAATTTGAACACGGCTGTCCTACCTACTGAGATTATACCGCCCCATTTTGGCAGGTCAATTAAAATGTAGAAGCTGTATTTACTCAGCAGGCTAAATTTATTTAACATTAATCTTGTGGTTTGCTGGGGTTTTTTTCCTTTTTTCCTTAGCGCTTTGCACAGGCCTAGCTGCTTCGTCTAATTATAATGCAAACTCAGAAACGGGTTAGTTTAATAACCCAACAAGAGTTTGCAAAACTCACCAGTTCAGAGGAAAACTGGCCTCAGGAAATGCTTGTTGTATCTGGAATGTTATTCCCAGAACCTCTTGAAAAAGTCCTGATTGACTTGGGGAAACTCATAAGTTGCACTGAGAGAATTCATTCTGGAGAATTTTGGAACCTTTTCTTCCCCAATCGGTGAATTTTGCACATCTCAAGTGACGTAATTTAAATCAGTGACAGGTAGTCCTCAATGTACGACCGCAATCGAGCCCAAAATGTATGTTGCTAAATGAAACTTAAATGAGTTAAATGAGTTTGCCCCACTTTACGACCTTTCTTGCCACAGTTGTTAAGCGAATCGCTTTAGTGGTTCCATTAGTCAAACTATTGTTAAGTGAATCTGGGTTCCCCCTTGTTAGGAGGTCGCAAAAGGGGATCATGTGACCCTGGGACACTGCAACCGTCATAAATGTGAGTCGATTGCCAAGCGCCTGAATTTCTACAGAGGGAATGCTGCAGTGGTCATCAGTGAAAACTGGCCCCAAGTCTCTTTTTTTTCAGTGCCCTTGTAACTTTGAACAGTCACTAAATGAACTGTTGTAAGTCGAGCACTACCTGCCTTCTATACCTCAGCCACAATGCCAGATTACAGTTTTTGACGTGGATTTTCACTCACGTTTGCTGATGTGAAATCAAGTCTTTGCTTTCTACCCCTTATCTACTTTTCCCCATTGAGAAGACGAAATCCTGCTATAGGTGTGTTCCTTTATGTCAGGGGTCTCCAAACTTGGCCACTTTAAGACTTGTGGACTTCAACTCCCAGAATTCTCTCCAGCTATGTCGGCTGGAGAATTCTGGGAGTTGAAGTCCACCAAGTTTGGGGACACCTGCTTTATATCAGGAAGAGGAAACTACCGCCCTTTTATGATTCGTGGACTTCAGCTCCCAGAATTCCTAAGCCAGCTGGCTCAAGAATTCTGGGAGTTACAGTCCACAAGTCATAAAGGGCCCCTAATTTCCCACCTCTGCTTTACACCCTTGTTGTCCCTGATTTCTTTTCCAGGTGTACGCTGCCAGTCCCTTCTCTGACCCCATCCAGATGGACAGCTCTGATCCCCAGCCCAAAATTGAAGGAGAGGAGGGGCTGATCTGGGTGATTGGACCGGTTTTAGCTGTAGTCTTTATTATCTGCATTGTTATTGCAATCCTCCTGTACAAGAAGTAAGTGGGGGTGTCCATTTTTTGGGTTTGTAAGGATCCTCTTCCACGGGCTGGGCTATTCCATTTTTCTTTTTAAAGCAGATTTTTTTTTCCCCTTGAAGAACTGAGTCTCCTCTGGAAAAATAATCTAACCCCAAGACCCCATTTGGTTAAGGGGTTACAGGAGTGGCCAATCATCAGGAGACAGCGAGTTCTAGTTCAGCCTTAGGAATGAAAGCCAGTTGGTGACTTTGAGCCAATGACCAGGAGACGTTGAGTTCTACTTCCGCCTTAGACATCAAAACCGTCTTTGGCCAGGTCCCTCTCTCAGTCTAGCCCACCTCACAGGGTTGTTGTTGGGGGGAATAGGAGGAGGAAGGCGTATTTGCTTTGCCTGTCACCTTAAGTTATTTATACAAATAATAAAAGGAGATATATATGTATACACACGCACATAGAGAGAGATAGAGATATATGAAAGCTCTTACTCTAAACTCAGACTTTTCCAACCTGGTGTACTCCAGACATGATAGCTATTTTCTAAAGCACCTGAAGGCCAGACAAGGAATAATGGATGGAAACTGAACAAGGAGAGATTCAACCTGGAAATAAGGAGAAACTGTCAGGGAGAACCATCAATCCATGGAACAGAAGTTGCTTTCGGAAGTTGTGGGAGCTTCATCACATGAGACTTTCAAGAAGAGATTGGACTCCCATCTGTCAGAAATGGTGTATGGTCTCCCACTTGGGCAGGGGGGTTGGACTAGATGACCTACAAGGTCCTTTCCAACTCTGATTATCTGTTAAGAATCTGATAGCTAAGGTGGGGGGAGCAGGAGAGAGCTCTAACCCCAAATATCTGGAAGACATCTAGTGGAGGATAAGTGATGTCGGCCAGAAATATACCTAGAAGGCTGAACTTCCAAAAGTGACCATCAGCTTTGAATTGGGAAGGTTCCTGAGCCATTAATAGGTTTAAGGATAACCGAAAATCTCCCAGCTACTGTCTCATATTATATCTTTTTTTTTTCCCCTCACTTCCTTTCTGTGCTTCCCTGGACAGCAAACCAGACAGGTAAGAGGTGTTTTTTTTTTTTAATGCTTACTGTCTCATTTGATGCAGTTGAAAATCAGGAATACCTCTGAAAACTGGAGAAAATAAAAGTGGAAGAGACAGGCCCTTTTAGTTTACTGGCCTATTGCCGGTGGTACAACTACAAACCAATTTTAACTCTGAACGAGACGACAATTAAAGATAAAGAAAGATAATTGCCAAAGGAGGCTTGAGGTAGCTGATAGCACCCCTTTACATCTCTACCATAGTATAGAGCTTAACCTCGTGGCTTCCAAATTTATTTGGGTGACCCGTTTTACACCTCTATTATTGCGTTAAATTGAGGACTACCTTTACTGAAAAGACTTAATTTTCTGGTCCTCAGCACAGTTTCTACTTTTAATATATCATCTCCCCCTGCTACCGGGTGCCCAATGATTATTAATTTGAAAAAGGTCACATATTTATTTTGTCTATAAAGTTGAGCATCGTTTGCCCCGATTAAACACTGCAGGTTCCAGCTGTGTGTGATAGTTGTTGGGACTTGATTCCTCTTTCTCTTCACCCATTGGCTTCTTTCCTGCCTCCCTCCCTCCGTCCTCCTGTTTTTCTCCCTCTAGCAAACGCAAAGACTCCGAGCCCCGGATCAAGTGCTTACTGAATAACGCCGAGATCACACCTCACCACCCCAAAGACCCTGTGGAAATGAGGCGCATCAACTTCCAGACGCCAGGTAACCAGCTTCATGCCAACGCTCCCTCTTTTCCTAGACGGCTGCATGCTTCTGACACCACTTCATGCCCTTGCAAAGTTCTGCTCGCAAAGACACATGCATGTGTCATTGTCCATCTGGTGAGATGTCGTTGGTATAGTCCAGTTTCAAGATAGCGTGCGCTTTACGTAAACCCACTGACTTAACAGGCAAAAAAACCTGAGTCCGTTTTATTCGAGACGGACTTGGGGGGAAAAAAAATCTGAAATAGCTGGATGAGGTTTCCGGTGGGCATATGGACCACAATAATTCATCGTTATTCCCTTTGTGCTGAATAAATTAGACTAGGTCCGTGATGGCGAACCTATGGCACGCGTGCCACAGGTGGCAAGCAGAGCCATTTGTGCCGGCACGCGAGCTGCAGGCAAACTTACCTCACTGGGCATGCGCGCGCCTCACAGCTGATTTTCGGCCTCCCAAAGGCTTGAGAAAGGCTTCTGCAGGCTTTGCAGGCCGAAAAGTAGCCCCGTTTCATCACTTCCTGTTTTTCCGAAAATACCAGAAGTTATGAAACGGGGCAAGTTTTCGGCCTGCAGAAGCCTTCCCTCAAGCCTTTGGGAGGCCGAAAAAGGCCTCAAACCTGCCGAAAATCAGCTGTGAGGTTCAGTGCGGGTAAGGGGACAACGGGGGTGGGTGAGGATTTCGCGTGCATGCATAAGGGACGTGGCGGGGGTGCGCATTGCCTTCTGGGTCCTGGCATGCGAACACGAGCGTGCAAGCGCACGCACAGTTTTTGGCACAGGAGCCCCAAAAGGGGTTAGCCACCACTGGTCTAGGTGGTGAAATCTGCACATTTTTTTGTGATTTTGTTCAGTAGAATAGAAAGGATTTGCTTGGTGGAATAGAGGGAATTTAGCTTTGCTTAACAGAGAAGGCGCTTAGGTGATTAAATAATACATTGATTTAAAACAATGCCTGTTTCAATCGATTTAAAACGGTGGCCCTCTTAAAAAGCCTTTGACTCATTTTTAACACAAGTGCTCTTTTTTTCTTTTTCTTTTTAAATTGCAGCTGGAAAGGATTTTATAAGAAGCTTTCTTACTTGCACACGGTTATGCGAACGAGGAAAAAGGGGAGAATGCTTCCTTATAATATTTTTTCCACTACAGGTAGTCCTCGATTTACGACCACAATTGAACCCCAAATTTCCATTGCTAAGCAAGGCAATAGTTAAGCGAGTTTTGCTCCCGTTTTACGACCTTTTCTAATTTTTTGCTATAGTTCTTAAGTGAGCCATGTGGTCATTAAGCGAATCCGGGATCCCCCATGGACTTTGCTTGTCGGAAGCCAGCTAGGAAGGCCACGAAAGCTGATCCGACATGCATGCTGTGGCCGAGTGCCAGAATCTTGATCGTGTGACCCCGAGGGCGCTGCCACTGCGTGAAAAACAGTCAAAAGTCACTTTTTTTTCTGTGCCAGCGTAACTTCGAATGGCCGTTCGTAAGTCGAGGACGATCTGTATAACATGTCACCAAACAGCCTGCGGACACCACGGGAGAAGCAGCACTTCCACTTTTGCATTAACGGAAGATGGATTGCTTCTTTGCACATATCCCTGCCAAAATAAAAGTGATGTCCAGGATATTTCCACCCAACAATAGTAGGGTGCGTGTGTGTGTGGACAGGTCCCTTGGAAGAAGAAGGAGAAGTAGATGGGCAGTGCAGTTCCAGGAACAAATAGCTTAGGGCAGGGGCTGGGGTGGGGGGGGAATTCCCAACACGCCAAGAGACAGGTGCCTGGATTGGTGGCATAGGCTCCCCTGGATGCTATTCCTTCTTCCCTCTTTCTTCTATCTGCGGATAGCTTCCTTTGTTCCTTCCTTCCTTGTATCTTTCTTTTATTCCCTCCCT